TTCACCCCATTTTGAATGCATTACTATTCCACAAGATGGTAATTCACCATCACCACTCTATGGTGAACGCCATCAAACACCCAACAGCGCTTTCAGCAGTTATACACCAACAACAAAAAGCGATTGAGGATATTGTCACGCACTGTTGAAAAATATTTTGACGCAAGTGCATCGTCCAAGGCATTTGTCGTGCGCTTCATGGAATTGTAAACAGAGAGTTCATGGTTGTGCGATGGGATCGGTGGTGTTTAAATACAGGCCCAGATATGAAGTTTGCGATGTTAAAAAAGTGAACGTTCATTTTCACCAAGTTCTAAAGTTGTTTTCAGTGAGTGTATCACTCATTCGTTCTTGAGGTGGGAAAAAAAAGGGTTCGTCAGATTTTTAGGCGGGATGGAGACGCGGGGACATGGTGACGCGGGCGTTGGTTCAAAACAAACACCGGCGTGGGCCAGGCCACACCGCCCGGCGCAGCCACGGGTCGTGGCACGGCCCCATGCCTTGGCTCCCAGTTTAAAAGCTCGCGCCGTTTGGGTTTTTAGATATTTTTTTCCGTCGCTTCTGTTGGTTAAAAAAAAAAGCCGTAAATCTTTGTAACCCAGTTTTAAAACCAACGCGTCTCATTTTGCATTTTAAAATTTCCAGAGGCCGGGGTCTAACCGTGTTAAAAGAGAAGTTGCCAGCACACGTGCCGGCTCTGCACAGTCATGAGATATTATTCCCAGTGATTTTGTTGTTTCATCTGCACAAGCTTCGGCCAGGCCTGCCAACACACGAGGGGGAACATGACCTGTCCGTTTATTTGACACTGGCAACAGGAATATGGACAATAATGCACCTTGTAATGAGAGGTGGTTTGTTATATGCACACTGGCTCGTAGAAGCGTGGTGATGCACCCATTAGTATCGATTGTTAAGCCATGATGTGCATAATATGCATTGAGGAGTAAACATTGATGGCTCCCCTGTACTGATGAGTTCTAATAATGACAAAACCGACCTACAGTTGTGTCTTTTTGTCACAGCTGCCTTAACTCTTTGAGTCGGTAATTCTAAGCGACAGCACAGCCACACATTCAGGTACTGGTGGTACGGGTAAGGCTGAGAGTTACTGTGCATGCGATGCTGCACACCTGTGTGTGTGTTGTTAAATCTACTTGTTTTCTGGCCACCACTCGTTTTTCTGTTGGGATGGATTGTCTCGTCATTTACAGATTGGAATGAGTGTTGCCCTTTACGTGCAAGCAACACAGCACAATCCTGCACCTAAATACACAAAACCCGAACTGCCCAGCCTGGTATGAATTAATAGCTGCCATGATAATAAACACACACAAAAATCCACGGGGAGGCTTTCATCCAGCAGTTGATTGATAAAGGGCAAAGACATTTCCTAAGACAACAGAACTAAGAGTCTCATTAAGATGACCATGTGGAGGATCACTGGCTTTCTGTTATCATCCTTCAAGGCTCTCGCTCCACGTCGCCTCGACTAGAAGAGTCTATGGCTACGAGGATGAGTGAGCAGTTCAGCCGTTGTTTATTTTTTTCAATATTTCACAGAGCCTGCAGGGTAATATGAAGTTACCGAGCTGAAATCGTCAAACTCGCTGAAAGTAAAAATGCTATTGGCTGCCCTGAATTTTTAAGTGCAGGAACTCGGGCGCCTTGCAGTGTCCAGCCATCGCGTCGTGCAGTGGCGAAAATGCGCCGGTGGTGTACGGCGGCACGCTACACTGGCAAGTTCTCACAACGGTTCAAATAATAATGAAAACAATTATTTAAACTTGTTTCACGAAAGCGCACAGTATCCGCTCACTGTCGATAAGAGAGAATGACTCGGAGGTGTGAGGAGTAACCAAAGAGGAGTGGGAAGGCAACCACGTGGTGAGCCGGCACCATATCCCCCCACAAGCTGTGCGGTCCTCTACATAAGTACAAAGGTGTCAGCGGCCAATTAATGAGTGATTTCATGTGGAAGAAACCCACGTGAAAAGACGACGGCGAGATTTGGACCTCGCGGTCGGCGGTCAATCAGGCTTGAACTGACTGCCGCTGCGCCACGCTTGAGACTATTCACAGACATTTAACCAGTTTACGAGACAATGCAAGACAGGGCTGTGTAATAGAGCTTGCAATATGTGAATACTGCGCACTCGTGATAACCTAGGAAGTTAACGTCTCGCCACGGGAGCGAGATGTTCGACCTCCACCCTGTATATTTGGAGTTTCCGTGTTCTCCCTGTGGTCGCGTGGATTTTTCTCCGGGTCCTCCGGTTTTTCCCTCCACATTTAGCATAAACGAGCGTTTTAGAGTATTTGGCTGCTCTACATGTCCACGTGATAAGCCACTTCGTTGAGCTATTACTTGTAGCCAGGTCGCTTCTGAAAAAGAGCTATAAAGCTCAATGGGACATACATGGTCAAATAAATTTTAGTTTATAATAGTTGCGTGTTTATAAATGTACTTATGCACATGAAGACACCTTGGTGCTTCAAACATACATCTCTTGCCTGACGTGTTGGCTTAATGACGCATTCTTTTCGTCTGGCTCAGATCACTTTTATGACCTGTTTTCCTTTTTTTACGTGGTACTAAATGCTTTTCTCAGATGTGTGTGTGTGCAAGTAATTTGTGAATATTTACAACATTATGCCTGACTAAAGTGCAATCCTTCATCAAAAATGAGTTATCCCGGGAAAAACATTTCACAATAATTGCCCGCGATATTGGTCCGCCACTCTTGACCAGAGGGTGCGCGTAGCACAATACTGAGCGGGTCAACCCTCTGCTCCGTCCTCGTCTCAGTGGGTCGCAGATCGAGGTGGTGGGGGGGTGGGGGGTGGGGGGTCCGTGCCAGAGCGCGTTGCTTCCGTAGCACCCGCGACGCTTGCGCTGCTTCAGGTGCTCCCTCCGCGATTATTTTTCTTGTCTCGCCGTTGTGCCGAGCGCACGGCCCACCGGGCCTGCTGGGGATTTTGCGCCGCTGGGCAGGGGTGCGGTGGTGGTCGCCGCCGTGCTGGAGTGGGGCCTCATAAACCCAAAGGGTTTAATTGTTATTTTGCCAAATTCGCTGGCTTGGTTCAAAACCGACAGTCCACGGGTGTTCGCCTCGAAGCTCAAATGGAAATTGTATTTTTTTTTCATTCTCTTGAAATGTTTACATTTTTTCGGTACGAACAAAAAAAATCCTCAAGGCTGAGGATTTTTTTCATTCTTCCAAACGGTACATTTTATTGAAAGTTTGTTTTGCAGTTCAGATTGTGCTTGTGTGATGGCTGGCTCTCTTTCTCTCTCCCTCTTGTCGGTCTTTGCAGAAGCTGACACGTTCTGGTTATGTCACAACCCCCGCTCTTGTAGAGTGAGCACGAGTTCTCTCTTGCAAATGCGCTCGTGTATACAGCACGTATATAGTGGGCTTGCAAAAGGTTAAAGGCATCCCTTCGTTTCATTCTAACTGTTATACAGAACGTCAAAGTGCTGCCCTTCGATTTCTTACCAACGTCACTGCTTGGTGGGAAGCGTCTCCGTGAGAGGGAAGCTCTAGAAAGCCCCCCCCCCCCTGTTGTGAGACAGGTGTGTATCCCACTCTTCCATTCCAGACAGGTGTTGTGAATAGAGGTGGGAAGTACCCACACTTTACCCAACCACACGACCTGCCCGAATGACTGCCTGTGGTGAGAACCCATTTATGCTGCTAGGTGGACAGAAAGCGGTTGCTGGTTGGGGCGATTTAGGAAACTTGCAGCGTTGTTTCAAGTGACGCGCGAAGGAAATGGATCCTGTGACCTCTGGATAATCCTAGATTTGAAGCTTTCGTGACTGCAAGGATTCATACTCTTTGTTTTTTTTTCGGTAAAGTCAGGTAGGTAAAATAAAATAAATGAAAACAACTAAATGTAATCACTAGTTTTCATTTATTTTATTTTACCTACGTGACTCTGGATAATCGTCACAGCAGCGTTACATAAACACGATCAATATTTGTGAAAAGAAAAGTTAAGAAGTCATCGTAGAGTAAGGAAAGTCGGGTGGTTCTCATTTACATTCATGGCCCTGAGCCTGTGACGAGGGCCAGTCTCTCCATTGGACACTGGACTTTCCATAGACGTGGCACTGATTTTATTGTCATGATAGAGATGATGGGCTGGGTGCTTTTCACTTCCAGGTTGACTTCATTGTGTGACTCTCCCAACTGCCGAGTCCTCATCGGGACAAGCAGGGGTATAGATGATCGTGTTATCTTCAAAAATCAATGATGGACAAATGAAACTAGCAATGTAATAGCCATCGTAAAGTTTAGAAGTGTAGATTAACATCAGTTGCAGCTTAATTTGCACCGCGTTGGCGATCTGTTTATGGGTTTTTTCTGAACTTATTTGCGAGGCACAAACGCGTGACGGAAGTAAAGTAATGATGGCAGCCCGTGGAGCCCCATTCACAAGTTGCCAGAAAAGTTGGCCAAATTGCCGCCGGTTTCGTGGGGGGGGGGGGGGGGTTTGTGATTCTGCCAAAAATGTGTCAGGGGGGGGTGGAACGTTTCCACCGATGCTTGAATCGGCCCAGTCGTGGGCGTGAGGGTACCCACCCGCTGGGCAATGAGGTTCCTACAGGAGACAGCTCAGCAAGTAGGTTTGCGATCTCTCTGCGCTGTGCTGGAAATCTGCGCACGCTTTCACGTGTTCTGGACACTTGAAGACGCAGGCGCGTGACACATGCACAGCCTCACTCCGCAGCCTGACCCCTGTTCTGTATATTTTCAACCGAAATTATTATTTTGCGATGTGTATCTTGCGTGGAAGACTTTTCTTTTTGCCGTGGTATCCATTCCTGGGCAGGGCTTATTTTTCCAGTCAGTTAGCATCGCAGATGTGACGTGCTGCCTTCCAGCGTGAATACGCACCATTTGTCTCGCTCGCCGTACCGAGCGCAGCGCGGGCAGCCGTGGCGTAAGATAACAGCCTCCCTTCATGCCCTCCCTCCGTCCCCTATTTCCTAGGGACCCCAAGGGCTACAAGGTCCGACGGGCAGGGATGGGCCTGCAGGACAGAGGGTGAGGTGAACGCACGCGCGCACGCACGCACACACACTTACACGTTCGCATGTCCAGTCGGTACGTAACACCTTACATATTACACCAGGGACGGAACATAAGGCACGTGGGCCGGAGACAACCCAAGACTTAATTTCATATGGCCCGCAACTACGTGACACCTACCACAAGCGATAATTATCTGTAACTGCAGGCGTCTTGACAGCACTAATCGGGTACCGGAGGGAATATGTTTTACCTTTCAATGCTGTGTTTATAATTTTAGCACATCCAGTCATCTGTTGTCTTTCGAGTAGTCCTGAGCACACAGTCAACGCATGTGGTCCCGAAGTTCTGAGCGTTGAGTGTCAAATCATATAGAACCTGCGCAAGGTAATGTAAGGTCTTCTTCGGCCCTGGGTAAGGAAAAGGTGCCCCCCCCCTTGGGGAATGACACCGGCAGAATTGGTGGATCACTGTCGGATGACAGCGAAATGCGATGTGACCTCTGTGCCGTCACTGTGGTGAGGGAACGAACGCACGTCTGGCATCGAACCTGGACGAGACAAAACGACACCAAACCACGGCTTTGTCAGTCTGATGCTGTGCAAACATCATAATTCATGACGCTAAACGAATACAAGAGGCTTTACTTTGTGTGAAGTGGGATTATTTCGCACCCCTCACACCAACATAAATAACTCAGAGTGACTGGACCAAGAGAATGACTACAGGAAAACCACACACCACGAGTTGCAAGCTCGCCAGCCACTGAACTTTGTGCGACTGTGTCCTTACACACGTGCGCGTGTGTGTGTGTGCGCTGCAGGGTCTGCCTGGAAAAACCGGGGAACAAGGACCCAGAGGACCTCCAGGGCCCATGGTAAGCCGCCTTCCTCCATGACCCGCGGCCTGTGCAGTGTGTGCAGCTGCATTAAAGTGTAACAGGTGTGGTTATGTTCGTGATAAAATCGTGCGTATAAACGCGCCACCTGGCGACGAGTGCGTGGGAATCGCATGGCTGCAGTGAATATTGTGAGGAGTTGGCGCCACAGGGGCGTGCAAAGCGCTGGGTCGCGATTGGCTTTTCTCGATTGGCGGTAATTGAGGCCCGTTCGCAATGTAAGCAGACGCGTGGCTCACGGCCTCAGAGCCGCGTGGGGCACGGGAGACAGAGCGGCGAAGGAGGCATGCCGTATCTGCGGACCGAGTCGTGGCCCGGTGTGATCACGTTACCGGCCCTGTTGGGGTCGAAAATAAACGGGCACCATTGTGGTCCATCACCATCTCCTGGAGATTCTGTGCGTGGTGGCAGACGTGTGACAGAGGCCTGCTGCAGCCTCAGAGGGAGGGAGAGGCATAGAGCTACAGCAAGGATACATTGTGGAGTACTGCCAAACTTTGATAACGCTATGTCACACAATTTTTGTTCCTGGGTAGTAAGTGTTATTTCTGAATTGCTTATGCCTAAAAAGTATAGAAAATGGTTATTATTTCCCACAGAGAACTCGGTCCGCTGTGGCCAGTCCCGTCTGTGGTCATGCGCCTTGGTGTCGTCCCTGCTGTCCCAAAGGCAAAGATAGCAGGGAAACTTGATGAAACTGCTTTGGAGACCCATCAGAAATGCCACGATTTTGAAGTCTCCGATGACCTCCCAGCCATACTCATCATACTTCAAGGCATCCAGAAAAGTCTTGATGCTGTTGCAATCCTCTGTGAGGTGCAACGAGTGAGCCAGGGGAAGAGACGGGTACTTGTTACCATTATGGAGCAGCACGGCTTTGAGGCTCCTGGATGAGCTGTCAATGAAGAGGCACCACTCATTCTGGTTACAGGCGATTCCGATTGCCTCGAACAGACTGGTCATATTGTGGCAGAAGCAGAGCCCACCTTGACGGGTCAAGAAGCTGCAAAAAGGTTGTTGACGCTGCCTCTGATCTGCGACTTGCACACTGCTTCAGCCTAGACGTCAAACGCTTGGCATTGGTATTGGTGAGACCAAGATCTCTGATCAAGTCGTTGGGGTCTTTTTGGTTGGGGTAGCATGGGTTTCTCTCCTCAGCTCCACCTCTGAAATTGTCATCTGGATCTACAATGTCTTCCTCGCTCTCTGACTTGCTGCTCTCTTCTAAAGACGGCTGCTCTCTCTCCAGAGGAGTGGGTACGGGGAGCTTATGGCAGTGTGGCACCAGGGCGATGGATGAAGGAAGGTCCGGATACGTGATAGCAGGTGCATTCTTGACAGTCCGACGTTTGGAAGGGTCCACCATGCAGAAGTAGCAGTTGCTTGAGTGGTCAGTGGGTTCCCACCAAGTTATTGGGATAGCGAACTTCATGGCTGATGCCACCACTGCACATCAAATTGGGCCTTATGGAAACATTTTGTCAGAGCTGTAGATAAGGAGTTGGCAGCCTTCAAGTACCTTCAAGACCTCTTCCCTATGCTGTCTGAGCAAAGGTCAAAGCCGGTGTCTTCGTCGGACCACAGATAAAGAAGATCCTGGAGGATGTCCCTCAAAGTCCATGTCCTTGATGCTCATCTTGATACAGTAAATTCAAGGAGAACATGGGAGCGTACTCGGAGGAGCAAGGCGAGCGCTTCCACCAGGATATGCAGGACTTTGAACGCCGCTACCAAGGACAGTATAACGAGAACATGATGGGAGACTACATTCGGGGGCTGATTCGTGAAAGTGAATTCTAGTATAATCATAAATCTTGAAAAACTACTGACTTCTAAATATTTAGTAGTATTTTTTGTATTACCTTAGTTTAAATACATGTTAGTTTTGATTCATATGTTCTTTTTTCTGACTTTATGTGATCGAAAGATACAAATTCGCCCGTTCATTGAAAATAGGTAAATTTCTAAATATCACTGTCCTGGTTACAAAAGCAATGTTTGTGGGGAATAATAGCCATTTTCTATACTTTTTAGGCATAAGCAATTAATAAATAACACTTACTACCCAGGAACAAAAATTGTGTTACAAACTGTTATGATTCTGAGAAAATCCTTGAGACCCGTTAACATCAGGGAATGCTGCCGCAGTGTAATGGTCGCTGGTTGGATCTCCTGGTGTGGCGGTTGAAACAATGGGGCAAGTTTATTGAATCTCCCCTCCCCACTGCCTCTGTCCACCCAGCAGTGTCAATGGATTCACCACAATCCATCGGCAGGCTGTATGTGGTGGGGTAAAGTGTGGGTACTCCCTACTACTTCTAAGATGTCTGGCCAGTGTGGAAGAGTAGGCCAAAAACAATCCTCTGGAGGGGGCTCTCGAGTGCTCCCTCTATTGGAGGCCTCTTCTGCAAGCAGTGGCACGAGAGAGCAATTGCAGGGCTGCACCTTTACCCATTAGTGCTCTGCAAAAGGTTTACTGGAGTAATTTCCGGCCTGTTCATATGCCATTGAATTGTTTAATTTTCTATCGTGTCACTGACACCATTGTGAGTGTTATGGATTGTACATCTGCAATGCTTAGACTTATTGTGTGTTTATGCCGAGTGAACTGCAGTTGCAGAATGTTTAAGTCATCTTTGTTGAAACGGGAAATACAGTGAAGAACAAGAAACAATATTGATGAATAAAAAGCAAAGTGCTATCTACAAAGTTACAAGAAACAAATATGATGACAATCATCACGTCGCAAAATTCGATATCACACCGTGCTGAGGGCAACCATAATCGTTACAGCGTTTTTGTTTGAGGTGGGCGCTTGAGAGACTAACGCTGTGCGGCCGGTCATGCTGTGCGTGGAGCTGTGCGCCCGGTGTGCTTCCTGACCCGTCACTCCGTTTGTGAGAGAACAGGGGCAGCCCGGGTCACCGGGGCCACAGGGTGACGTTGGGGCCCCAGGCACGCGTGGCAACCGGGGGCTGCAGGTAAGAGAGCGGCGGTACCAACGTGGTCGCCACGCGTGCCCCTCCTGTTACCATCGCCTGGGTCTCATTTCTCGCTGAACATCTGATTGGCCGCTGGTAAACTGGAGTGGTCCTATAATCAGAACTGTCGAGGGGAGATTAGGCCTACATTAATTGGTGTCCTGAGTATTTTAATGTTTTCACGGTTTTAAGTTTCAGGTCTTAATTTGAGCCAGACAGCTCAGGTCTCATGACGTGACACCCATAGCAGACCAAATTTGGGAGAAGTTAATAAAAAAAAGCTTGTAAGGGTGCCTTTCAGACAGTCAGCAGACATTAACTCGGAATGTCAAGCAGGCCACCCCCCCCCCTTGTCCACCATTTCTCCGTGTGAGCTGCCTGACTGCCTCTTGTCTGCGCTGTTTTTCCACCTCCGTTTGTTGCTGGAGTCAGACGCGTGCATCACGATGCAGGCAAACCCACACACACCCACACCCACGTGAATATGTGCACGCGCATCTGTGTACACATGCAGGCATTCACTTACACAGTGACACGCACGTGTACATTTACAGAAGTGAATACGTGAAGATGAGAGTCCGGTTCATCACTTCGCAAGAAAGTAACATGTTAGTCCTTTCAGGGCCAGTTTTTATCCACCACCTCCGCTAAGCGTTGTTTCAGTGCCAGCGATCACAGGTTACTGTGCCTAGCTCTGCACGTGAGCACAGTTACACACGAGGGAGGGGCTCCCAATATTCGGATCAGTCTGAAAAATCTAAAATATCAGTTCTAGTTGCTAAATTTCAGAAGGTCTGGAAGAATAAATTGCTTCAGATCGATCCAAACGTGACGTAACTTCCATGCCCTTGCTTGCTTGCTTCCCATCCAACGGAGCCGTGCCGTAGTCACATTTGTGACGACCTGCGACGCCACTTTTGTTGAAATCATGAATGTGTTAAAATACTTCCATTCACATTTTTGTTCTACCGATGCAACTTTATGTTATTATTTGTTTAAAATCAAAATTATTAAAATGGTTTTAAATTATTACATTTTGTGCATTACCGAAAACATGGACTATAATATAAAATTGGACTTTAAAAAAATCTCATGTCTGATCTGAAACTGATCCCTAGTACACATAAGTAAAGTCAAATCTAAAGTTAATTTTGTGTAACCAGCTGTGAGAGCTCGAGGGGGACCGGGATAGGAGTCTCTCATTTTCAAGATCAACCTGGGTCACCACAATGACAAAAGCAAAAGAAACTAAAATAAAGTAGAGCAACCGACCAAAGAGAAGTGAGAGCAAAAACAATTTCATCATCACATGAGCAAACATTACGCAAACATAAATCAGTGTCGAATAGTACATTTCCTGCAGCGTAAGTTGGCTCACACAAAAAGACTGTTGGATCAAGTTCCGTTAGCGAGCACCTACGGCACACGAGAGACAGGGTGGCCAGCACCACGCCTGGCGCGCCTAAGTCTCCCCAGTGGCGATGTTTAGACATCACACCAGGCACTCATTTGAGGCTGAGGCGACCTATGGGAGGTACAGGACTGGTTCAGAGCATCATCACTGGCGTTGGCCGTGAGCGGGAATCAAACTCAGGTGGCTCAGCATGCTAACCGCTACACCACCACTCCCGACTCGCTGTATACACATACACATGTACACATGCCCTCTACACATGTACAACACACATGTGTACCGTGTACTGCAATGACTGTGAATGATCTGCTGTGCTGATGCAGGGTTTGCTGGGCTCGAGAGGTGAGAAAGGAGACAAGGTGAGTTCATATCATTTGCCACACGACACCAAATGGCTTTGTCCTCTGATCTCTTTGTGAAGGAAACCAGTTGTGATGGTTACACATTTATACAAAAATAAACTGCAACGACAGAATTTAAAAATGCAGTCTGTAGAACAGCAGTTTGTGAAGGTTTAGATCTTATCGAAATAATTGCTCAGCTCGTTTCATTTCCCAAGCCTCCCTCGCCCGAGGGTCGGTGTCTCGTTGGGTCCGCACCTCGTGCAGGCTGCTGCTGCCATTGCAATTCCTCACACCTCTCCTACGTCCATTTTAATTACAAACTTGTAACCGGTCAGCGGATTCGTCTGCTTTCTGTCGGTGTTCATGGCACCCCTTTTTTTAAGTAACAGTAGGTTCCCCTGAAGAACACCACGTGATGGAAAAATCGCGTTAGGCTAACGCACAGTCTGCGATAACACGTGAGATCCATATGCAGGCCGAACAAAGACTCAGGCACGTGGGTAGCGTCTAGAAGCATCCAACAGCATCCCAGCTTGTGTGATGCTACGCCGAGGCAGCCATACGACTCGTGTGACGTAGTTCCGTTCACTCAATTTGCGGTATATCAAATTCGCATCCGCGTTGTAAAATGTGTTTCCTGATGAGTTAAATGATGACGTCACCCTGCTGCTCTATTTAAGACCGGGAGCAAGCGAGGGCTTTACCATTCTGGCGAATTGCCCGATGATGCTGGATGTAATTACCAGCGAAACGTCGTACTCAAACTGTAAATGTTGTGGATTCACTCTTCAACACACCGGTGGGCTAAAGTAGTGAATTATTTGTCTTTTGTCAACGTGACACTTTTTTGCTGATTGGCCATGTCGGGTGGTGGAGGGTTATGACACATTTATAAATAACGCGATCTAACCCAAAAACCTTTATTATGAGTACATTCATCGTGTTATATTGGGCACCACTGCCAATTCGCGTTATGAAAACCCACGTTCGAGGAGAACAGACTGCTTAAAACATTGAGTTATCAGAAATCAGATTTTAGATTTGGGTTCAGTACCCTTCAACACCTCCAGACATAAACCCGGCGTTCATAAACAAAATGGTTGACGTTTGTAGCTTGCCCCATATTTGATGGTAGTGCCAATTGGATTCGTTTTCGAATTTGAATAATGCCCGAGTTGAAGAGAGCACTGATCTAATCCTCTAAAAACAAACCTATGTAGGCCTAGGCTTGAGAAAGTTTACTTATTTTGCCCCCCACCCCCAATTTTGAGTGGGCCCTAAGCAACAATCAACAATACAGTACCAAATGTCAGCTCTCTGGTCCTTCTATAACAGCATTAAGATATATATCAGCCACTCATAACCGACAATCTTAGCTCTTCAAAACACAGGGCATGTTTTTTGTATAATCAACATGCGTGTGGCATGTTGCATGTCCTGTGCTCTGTCCACCGGGTTTTTATTTGTTTAGTTGCCTCTGTGTTTGGTTTAATGCTGAAGTTCCCGTACCACGTGCTGTGCCATGCCGTTTGTGTGCTGTGGAAACAGGGGGACCCGATGTCCCAGAACATGATTCGGTCCGTGGCCAGACAGGTGTGCGAACAGCTGATCAGCTGTAAGTGACTCCAGCAAATCCTCCACACGACTGCACCACGTGCACACATCCGATCTAACGGGACAGCGATGTCAGCAACGAACCAATGCTTCCCCCTCTCTCGACTCCCCAACCAAATTCAGATCCCTCATCTCTGGCCCTGATTTTCCCCCACATTGTCACGTCTCATCAGATGCGGTGACCCATGGTGGACATCTCCATGTGTTCTCACGTTAAGCCTGTTCCACAAGTTGCCGTACAGGACGACAGAGCGACTGTGCCCGAGAGTGTCGCTCTGCCGTCGCTCGGTGTGGAGGAGTGCTGTGCGATAGCGACGCACCTTGGCGTGCCCTCAGTGATGGCCGTGACATAAAACCCAGCCCAGCTCCGCACTCCTCGGCCATCCGTTCAAGTGCATGACACTCAACAGGGATTTGGCCAAGCGTCTCAAAGCAGCTCCCCTCCTGAAAAAGAGACTTGAGGTTTGGTGAGATTTTGCTGGTAAAGAGTCTCATGCAAATTTAGATTTTAACCTTAGGCCCTCCCGCATGAAAAACGAATTACATTGGCTTTTGTGTGCGACGTGTTGATGTGCAGTGTCGCACGTGATGGTTTGATGGGTTCGGCCGTGCCACCAGTTACTGCGCAGAAGTCGCTGTGAGTCTTTGCGTTTAATCCAGAGGAGCCGGTCCGTGGGCAAGTAACCAGTAGTAGGCAGATGTAGGCGCGTGCTCAACATGCTTTTAGAGTATTTGGCTGCTATACATTCCAACTAGACAAGCCACTTCGCTGAGATGTCATTCGTGGCCAGGTCTCTTCTGAAAAAGGGCTGAATAGGCTCAGTGGCCTTACCTGGTAAAAAAAAAAGTTTAGTTTATAGTTTATCTAAAGAGCTGCAGGGGGCACGTTGTGCAGCCTCTGTTAGCGAGCTCCTCCTTCATTATGGCCCATCAGGCAGAGCCTCGGGGATTTTGTCCTCTTCACGGTGTGTTCCTTGGATTGTGCGATTGACGTCAGGTCACGATACAAAGCATCTCGAGTGGTGTATAATAATCCTTGTGTTAGAGCATGGCTCACGGAAGTGGACATCCTCCCAACCCACCCCCGTGATATTGAGAGTAGTGTTTGTCGCACGATGGTCAAAACCAACGTTCTTTTGATTCCCAGCACAGTAGGTCAGCACCAAACTTAATGTGATGCTTTTTGTACAGTCCTTGGTGACCGGGTTGACACCGTCACCTCACTGCACCTGAGACCCGAGGTCTATCACGAGGAGTTGCCTGGATGGAACCCAGGCTCTCGGCGGTGTCGGCTCAGCGCTCTGACCTCTGAGCCACCCGGTGGCCACCCGCTTGCGGTTTTAATTCTAAATAGTTCCAGTTCTTAGATGGCGATAGTGTAACTCGCACACTTCCATCTGAGCACGCCCTGCTGTGCGCACGCTCGAGTGCACACCTGAGGCCGTGCGGTTTGCGTGGAATCGAGTTTGTGGGCATTTGCGTAACGTACGCACAGATATAAAGGTCGGAGATTCCATGATATTGTGCATAAGAACAGGGCACTGTGCGCTGATGGTTGGGCCAATTTGGGGAATTGCTCGTAATTACGCGATGACCTGATTGTTCCATCCTGGATACCAGTAAGTAGTAGGAGCCCTTGTGCTGAACTCAGGGAACCTCGCTTGCAACACAACTGCCGCTAGTTTATATTCAGCAAGTCAAGCCAACAAAGACTGTCCTATGTCTGGTTCCAGCCATGGGAATGCGGAATTTTCAACAATTTTAACGAACTATTAACTTTTTTATTTTACCAGGTGAGGCCCACTGAGCTAAATAGCTGTTTTTCAGAAGCGACCTGGTCACAAATGATAGCTCAACGATGTGACTTACCACATGGAAATGTATAACATCCAAATACTCTAAAACAAACGTTGATTCTAAATTTGGAGGGAAAAACAGGAGGATCTGGAGAAAAATACATGCAACCACGGGGAGAACATGCAAACTCCAAATATACAGGTGTCAGGGGTCGGGATAAAACCCACGACCTCCTGTACACCAGGCGAGGTAGTTGACATCTCACCACCGTGGCGTCTCAATGAGTCGGGGCTGCCAATGGAGATGAGTGCCACACCTCTGCTGTGCTCCCAGTGACCCAAGCTCAATTCCTGACTTTCCGGCTATTCAGACCATCGCTGGCAATTGGTATCTCAATGTATGCTCGACACTCCTTAGTGCCGACTCGTGATGAAATTAGTGACATGGTGCAGCGTGTTAATATCAGCACTGGTGAAAGCAAAGACAGCCAGATGTGGTGCTGGCCACACCTCACCCTCTCGTACTGAGCAGGACCAAATAGGCGTTTGCTTACAGCACTTTTCCTCGGCAGTTTGCAAACTTAAACAGGCAGAACTTTGTCCGCACCGTCATTGTGTGTGTGGTTGTTCGGGAGCGGTAATGCAACGGTTAACGCGCTGCGCAACGAATCCGGCGACCCGAGTTCCATTCCCATTCACGGCCAACACCAGTCACAATTATAGGTCGACTCAACCTAAAATTAGTACCCGGTGCGGTGTGTAAATATCGCCATTGGGGAGACAAAGGCGGTCGGACGTGGTGCTGGCCACCAACCCCCTCGTGTACCGTGCCATCCTTCATAGGTGCTCACGAACAGCACTTGATCCCAACAGTCTGTCAAGGCTATACGGGGAATCTTTGTCTTCGTCTTTGATCGTGTTATGTGTGTGTGTGTTGTGTTCATGCTCTGCAGCCCAAATGCACCGTTACACAAACCTGATCCAACAAGCCCCCAACAACAACTATCCTGCTCGTGAGGTGAGGGGGCCCCCGGGACCCCCCGGCAATTCAGGCTCCCAAGGGCCCCCAGGAGAACCCGGCAGCCAGGGCCGCCCAGGCTTCCCGGGGGAGCCCGGCATGGGAGGCTCCCCTGGAGAGAGGGGTGAGGACTTCACACTCAAGCGCAGTACACGCACCTAGCCTGGCACGATTGCTGCGGCGAAGTCGCCATCAGTTCGTGGCGAGTGGCGGTTGTTATTTGTAATGTGCCTGATGCTCGTCTGTGTTTACGGGTTTGCCTATTGATGTGCTCTGAAGAAGGGCCATTATCCGGAATGTCGCCTTTCGTATATATCATTTTTTGAAGACCACGGTGTTTTTGACAAATGTTCTGAGTTGTTTTTTTCTCTTTAAATTGTGCTTGTGCACCACTGCCAAATGCAGCAGCATCACCAACACAATTCGTATTCGGGGACCAGTTTAGGTGCGCGTGGGTTTTGTGTCGCCGCACGGCTGCCTCCGCTCACCGTGGCCTCGTGATTGCAGGTTTGCCTGGAGACAAAGGAGAGAGGGGATCCCCTGGGATCAGCCAGCAGGGCCCTCCTGGCCCTCCCGGGCTTCCAGGCAAGAACACACATCCTCACTCACTCGATCGCTCACTTGCTGGCGCAGGCTTTGGCTAATTCACTGAGAACACACCCGGCCTTGGCACAGCTCACGCAAGATGAGCAGGTTTGAGCTTGGATTGTGCTTGGATGGTGACCGCTGTGCACAGACAGGATGTCAGAGCGCTGCGGGGCTGATGACGACCGCTTGTGTTGCGATCGAAACGTAGTTTTTTGTTATTTTCTTTGAACCTATCTACGTGACTTTACCGAAAGACCCAAAGAATATGAATTCCTGCAGTCACGAAAGCTTTAAGTCAAGATTTATAATCTTACGTTCCAGGTGACGTTTCTAAATGCTACACTTAGTCGATCTAGTGGCATAGCTCTCTTAAGTGTACAGGCGGTGGGACTGCACCACCAGGACCCACGGGCTGGAGGGGGCCAGGCACCGGCCTACAAAGAGGTAAATTAGACAGAAGGCCCCCAATTCAGCCCTTACAACATGACCCACTTCGTTGTGTCTTCCCCGTGTATTTTAGCACTGTCATTTTACGGTTCTGGTTTACGTTAATACGAGGGACGCAGAGTAGAACTCGGTGCTTTTGAAATGGGTGGGGAAGCCTTTCCTTCCCGAGAGCCAAAAAGGACTTTCTGAACCCTTTGGTGTGCCACCACACGTCAACACGCACACACCCAGAGTATCCAATCCTCACGCCAAAAGTAATGCGTTTGCTGACCGAATATAAAGAGGAGTGACTGAGCGTGGCGTTAACGTTAGAAATGCAGCAATGCTGCCAGGTCGATAATATCCCTCTCTGGTATCCGATTAGTGTGGCTAAAATGCTTTGCGTGGACAATAAAATCTAGTTTTTGGGTCCTTTCCAAGTGCCGGGCCTCATGTGGGCGTGGGCCGTGTGACGTGAAGCCGTAAGGGTTCCCCTTGACGTAGACTGTGGCAGTGGCTCGAGGGAACCGAGTTCGTGGCCATGACACTCCTTCAGTTTATTGTGAACTCCAAATTCGGTAAAGTGGCGACCGTCGGTAGAGTGGCGACTTCTTCTCTCGCGTTCCCTCGGTGAGGGGGATCTGCTCGGTTCACTTACGAGCAGCACCGCTGTGCATTGCCCTCGGAGCGTGGAGCGACGTATCATGGCAAGGCTTGCAAGTGAAAAGCGACAAAACAGCTCACGCTCAGCTCGCTTCGGCACGTGGATTTAACACCTGCCAGTGCCATTTGCAATCCTGTGCACGCGATTTATAGTTACAAGGGGGAATGGTACTCGTCAGCTTTGTCTTTGCACAAAAAAACCTCCTTGCAGGCTGCACCGCTCACTCCGAAGAGAGTGGCACCCATCTCCCCTCTGTGTCAGCCCACAAGAGTTTGCATGCGTAGATATGCATTGGTTGTAGCGTGGGGTTCTCTGAACCGCTGATACCACGCACCCGGCGGGTACGCACGGAGACCCCCATCTCAGCTTCCCGTGGTGTGGAGTCTTATCTTCTTTTATAGAGCGCCTTGAGCTAAGGCGCTCAGTAACATAGTTTCATACGTGGTAACAATAATAGAGTTATTTAGATGGCAGGGGCAGTGCAAGGACCGAGGAATGTGTGACCGCAACAGAGGGCACATGGGGGTCACGAGAGAGCAGGGGAGGGACGGGAAGGAGTGGAGGGGCGAGAGAAGAGAAGAGGAAGGGAAAGGAGGAGGGCTGCTTCATGTTCAGGGGAAGTTTGTCCCAGTGGAGAGGTGCAAGGAGAAGGATCGAAAACGAGATTGGTCACAGGGAGATGATAACGTGCTGGCCATGCAGCCAAGGGCACCCAAGGTACCCTATCTCACCATCTCAATACACAATCTACGTTCCTGCAAATATGGATTCACGAAATTGTGTCGGTCAGTGAGCCGAACTTGAATTGGCAGATCCTTGTGCCGATGAGAAATATTTGAAGTGACTCTGTTTTAAGGAAATGTTCACACTGACCAAATGGCTCTGTCATGTGTTCACGTGAGTTCCCGGCAGCATAGCGACATGATACAGAGCAGCGGTTAGTCTACAGAGCCGATCTAATTTCATGACTGACCACGTGGGGGTATAACACAAAGAAACGTTCTCTTAACACTGGCCATGTCAGTTGTCACTTCCTGTTAATATCGACATCGACTCAAAGATTAACAAAAGCAAATCGAGTTGGCTGCAGAGGACAATAGGAGGAGTGAGGTCAAGGGGGGACGGTGTGGGAGCACGGTGGGGAGGGAGAGTCCATTCAAGTGGGAGTGCTTGAGTACGTGGGGGTGAGGTTTGGGGAAGAGCGTCAAAGGGACACGGCAGGTGTGTGGGTGGACCCGAGAGAGAGAGGAAGATGGACCTCGACAAAAAAAGCAAGATAGGGAACAGAAGCCAAGGATGTGGTCCCACAAAGGCAACGTTGTCCTCCGCTCACAAATAAACGCAAATTAACGACCGTGGTTGATTCACTGAAGCGAACGTCAAGTCTACGTTCGATATTCCTTCACCACCATCATTCTGTGTGATCATACGCTGATGATGATGATGGCCGCACATCATCACAATTATCGCCACCATCATCATCACGTTCTTCTGCAAGCGTCCAGCCCTGAGCGGCTTTCACGAGAATGCTCTTCAGTGGCGTTACAGCTGCAGCCATTCTTGTCAATGGTGTCACGACAGAAACCCCGTGCTACGCTGCGCACGTGGCACGAATTATTCTGGGAGCAATTTGTGAACGCCTCGTGGCACCCACTTGCACAAACGACGCCGGCGTACGCAAATTGCCCCTCAACGAATTCGTTTAAACATTTTAAACAAATTCGCAAGCGGCTGTTGGTCAGCTCTATGCACTTGCGCAGCCCCATTTGACAATGCAATGCTGGATGAGGGCCTCGCCATGCCGTGCAGGTATTGGGGGTTATTTGACCATACTTCACCATGACGGTCAGTGTGGGTTGATGAACGTGGAGAACATAGACCTGGGGGTGGCACAACTATCAATTTTGCAGCACCGGTCTCTGCTGCCAACCTCATAGCCCCCTGCAGATTTAACATCTCACAGATAAAACCGGCGCCGCTCAGTTTCTTTTGGCGAGCCCGAGCCAGTGGAGAAAACTCCACATTGCTATGGCAGGACCCAGTTTTACCATAAAACAAACCGCCGTGGACCTGTTACGAGGTGTTGTTTATTGGCTCGACCTCAGTTACGGAGAAGGTTCCCGAGCCTTGTTAGTAGCTGAACTCGTTCCCTCCAAGCCCTCTACTGTCGTTGTCGATGGTCGTGTGAAATGCCCTTCCGCGTGTCGCCCAGGCCCCCCCGGGGACTCGCGCACGGGCAGCCCCGGCTCCCGAGGCCTTCACGGGGCAACGGGCCCCGCTGGGTCTCCCGGCAGCCCGGGCCCTGCGGGTGCCCCAGGGCCGCAGGGATACTGCGACTCGTCCCAGTGCAACCTGGTCTACAACATTGACGGTGGGTGAATACGCACGCACACACGGCACAGCCCGCACACTTGCACTGGACAGACCGTGTGTGATGCATCCCACCTACTGCATTGAGCATGGAGAGGGTGTGTGGGGTGAGTGGGGTGTGTGTGTGGGGTGGGTGTGTGGGGTGGGTGGGTGGGGTGAGTGTGGGGTGGGTGTGTGGGGTGGGTGTGTGGGGTGGGTGTGTGGGGTGAGTGTGTGGGGTGGGTGGGTGGGGTGAGTGTGTGGGGTGGGTGTGTGGGGTGGGTGTGTGGGGTGGGTGTGTGGGGGTGGGTGTGTGGGGTGTGTGTGTGGGGTAGGTGTGTGGGGTGGGTGTGTGGGGTGGGTGTGTGGGGTGGGTGTGTGGGGTGGGAGTGTGGGGTGGGTGTGTGGGTGAGTGTGTGGGGTGGGTGTGTGGGGTGGGTGTGTGGGATGGGTGTGTGGGGTGGGTGTGTGGGGTGAGTGAGTGTGCGGAGAGGGTGTGCGGGGTGGGTGTGTAGGGTGGGTGTGTGGGGGTGGGTGTGTGGGGTGGGTGTGTGGGGTGGGTGTGTGGGGTGAGTGTGTGGGGTGGGTGGGTGGGTGGTGTAAGTGTGTGGGGTGTGTGTGTGGGGTGGGTGTGTGGAGTGGGTGTGTGGGGGTGGGTGTGTGGGGTGGGTGTGTGGGGTGGGTGTGTGGGCTGGGTGTGTGGGGTGGGTGTGTGGGGTGGGTGTGTGGGGTGGGAGTGTGGGGTGGGTGTGTGGGGTGGGTGTGTGGGGTGGGTGTGTGGGCTGGGTGTGTGGGGTGGGTGTGTGGGGTGGGTGTGTGGGGTGAGTGAGTATGTGGAGAGGGTGTGTGGGGTGGGTGTGTGGGGTGGGTGTGTGGGGGTGGGTGTGTGGGGTGGGTGTGTGGGGTGGGTGTGTGGGGTGGGTGTGTGGGGTGGGTGTGTGGGGTGAGTGTCCGGAGAGGGTGTGTGGGGTGAGTGTGTGGGGTGAGTGTGTGGGGTGAGTGTGTGGGGTGGGTGTGTGGGGTGAGTGTGTGGGGTGGGTGTGTGGGGTGGGTGTGTGGGGTGGGTGTGTGGGGGTGAGTGTGCGGAGAGGGTGTGTGGAGAGGGTCTGTGGGGGTAACGTGTAATTTTCTATAGACGTTCACATATCCAATCTTGTAACATATCTGCCTATACCTTAGTCCCCAGCGAGTCCGCAGTGCTGTATGTGGGTTTGCTCCAGGTACCCGGCTTCCTCCCACACTGAAACAATCGTGAATGGAATTGTCCAAACTTCCCAGTGCAGGGCTCTCCTGGAAAGAAAAATAAGCTTGAAACTCAATGAGGCTTTGCTGGGTAAATAATTAGCATTTTTCGATTTAAAGCTTTCGTGACTGCAAGGATTCATCTTCTTTGGTTCTTTCGGTAAAGTCACGTAGAATGAGAATAAAATAATAAATTGATAAAATAAAATAACACAATAATATTCTCACTGAGAACACAATAATATTCTCAGTGAGAATATTATTGCGTTATTTTATTTTATCAATTTATTATTTTATTTTCATTCTACGTGACTTTACCGAAAGAACCAAAGAAGAATTAGCATTTTTTTAAATATATAACATAATTACTTACATCTTAGTGGATGAATATCGATAAAGGCATGCTTATAATTGATATTAAGATAGGGACATGAGGCGGCTTGGTGGCTTCAGAGGTCAGAACACTGAGCTGGCATCGCTGAGATTCTGGGTTCAAATCAAGCAGCCGCCTGTGATTAAACTGGGTTCTCAAGTACAGCAAGTTGATGGTCTCAGTCTGCTCACCAATGACTGCATAAAAGACCCCATATTTGTTAATATTGGCTTTGTGGATAAATTTGCTATTATGCACCAAATTATACTCTAGGTGACTGAGTTGGTGGAAAAATGCTGTTTCTGCAGAAGGCATATCAGAGGCAGCTCCGTGATATCTGCTTCTGTGGGCCGTTGTCCAACACAAAGGGTGGCGCTGCTCTGCGAGAGTTCGGAATGGATCCTTCATCTAATGACGTGATGCAACGCACATACTTGGGGTGGGAGGCGAAATAGAGCTTACGGAATAATGGGCTTTGCAAGTGATGCATCTGGTAGCGACACATTTAACACTGTGTTTACACTTAAACCTATACGTGGCTCCCAGTAAAAGGTAGGAAATGTCATGGGCTTAATAGTTGCGGCTTGGAAATGTTTTCTCTATTCGAACGATATCTTTCACACAGCTGATACACGATGGCCCAGAGGCCATCTCTTCGCGCTGACGCGTGCAGTAGCCCTAAGCGCAGTGCGCCAATAAATAGTGCTTACAGGTGACCTCATCCCTCGCCGCCCCCTATCACCTGAGCCACCCCCCACTGCCTCCCTCCGGAATCGGCACTCCCTTCACTCGCTTTGCCCAGGCAGCAAATGCGTTTAATTAGCAATCGGGCAGCGAACCCATCCTAATAACAATAAAGTCTGGAAATTACTGGGATCAAATTCCAATACTAATGGCAGGAAATGTTTAAAAATGACCGTTTACATTACAGATCTTTAGCAGATATGTCAACCACCAAAAATGCTTCAGCGGCGAGAGTTGATGCAGGTCTTTTAAAAGCAGACCCCCGCTCCACGTGATGCTTTTGGCCACATTTGTCTTCCTCTCGCTCATCCTGAAGCATTGGCTCGATCCAAATTAATGCATCAATGAAGAGCGATATATATAATTATATATAATTCTCTGGATGGAAAATGTCGGTGTACTCGCAGTACTAATTGCCGGTAGCATTGCACGAGCAAATATTTCTGTTAAAACTCTGAGAACAATGAACGGAGACTCAAAGCGAGCGGGAGAGGTGGTGGTGGGGGGGGGGAAGGTCCTGGCAGACGCCCCACATGGCTGTCTGCCCGGGATCCGCATGCGACTTTGGCCGACGTTCTCTTGGCTCCCTTCCAGCAGCTCCGTAGGGGCCTCTGCAGGCCCCCCTCACCCCCTCCCCATCTATCGCCGTCTGTTCCTCAAACGCCCCGTTTCTCTCACCGTCGGACTCTCTGACTCGGCACAATCGAATTCTCATAATGTAGTTAGTGACTGAAGAAATAATAAGAATAACAAAAAAATAGCGGCACTCAACCGAGCCTGCCGTTGTGTCAAAGCAAAATACATCGAGCGGAAATGAGGCAGGAATGCGACATGAGACCAGCCGACGAGAGGCAAAATGAACCACGGAGTGAATAGCGAGAGAAGGGGAGAGGAGCGGAGGAAGACAACCAAAATAGATGGCAGCAGCAGCCGCGGCTGCGGCGGCGAGATGCATTCACAGACATTCGGAGGCCACAATCGGACAGGAGAAATTAATTAAAGGAACCGGAGAGACTCAGCGAGGCTAGGGAAGCCTCACCGAGTCCCGTGACTCTTTATTTTTTTGTTCAGGAAGCTCCTTCCAAGTCTTCACAGTAGAGGGCGGTGATCGCTTTGTACGATCCGTAAGCACTCTCGTCTCACTGCTTTCCCCACCACCCCCCCCCCCTTAGCCACACTTTCGGTGAGACGCGGCGGCTCGTGGGTCGGTGAGCTCCCCCTGCGGTTCTAAGGAGGAAATTGATCCAAACTCGTCTGATGACTTGGCACCATGGAAATGGGTGCACAAGCGCAAATCACAAAAAACTCAACGCGCTTGAAATAAACATCCAGAAAGGAAATGAAATATAAAATAGGTGATGTTTCGAGCCTGAAATGTCACCAATGTTAAGTACGTTTTTTTTTCTTCCTGTTAGGGCAGTGGTATTGACAAGCTTGTTGATTCTATATGAACCAAAAAAACTTCTGCAGGAAACACGATTCTGTAAAGATTCACTTTCTTGGTAACTGCACATTGCAGTGTACCGTTCTTTCTCACTGTGGAGTTTAGGCGTCCATTAGTACTCTTTTCTTTCAGAAGGAACCTTTTTAAAATTCGCTTTTAACGGCTGTTTTTTTTTCTCTCAAACGCAAAACGCATTAAAAACGCAGCTCTCTCAAAAAGTCTTTCCACTCGGGGAGTTGCGGTTCTCCGCGTGACATCGCTATTTCGAGATGTGTGGTAGGATGTTTAAACTTGACCTTTTTTTATTGCCCGAGAGACTCGATATGTCACAGCCGTTTACGACCATTTGCTCTGTGAGATGAAACTGGTTTTCACATCATCGTTTTATTGTTTCCGTCATGGTGGATAACGGCTTCTCGGAGTGCAGTCGGGCTCACACGTACGTCCACACGGCCTCACGCCGATCATCAAGTGGAAATTAATTGCCTCTTATAGAACGAAGAGTCATAGTTGTGATACAGAACTCAACTGGGAGAGAGCAAGCACATCAATGAAAGTCCAGAGAACAATAATGACAATCATAAAAATGATAGTAAGATTGTATGCGTTATGTTCATATTAAATTGTAAATATGTACTCAATTGATTTTAAGCATTGAATCAATGTCAAAAGATGTTTATTCCGTGTAAATGTAATTCACACCTAGTTATTGATTAACCTATATGCTGGTAGGGGAATGCGACTTGCAATGGACAGGGTCTGGTAGAGGCTACACAATACGCAGGATGGAAACCAGGGCTTGACTGAACTGAACGGACTGCACGTGCACTGTTGGCAATGAGACCAGCAAGCAACATGGCTAATCATCTTGTACACTGTGGACACTACATTATTCCATATTACACACGTGGATTTAACTTCTATTATAATAATAAATAAACAATAACTACTCTATGCATTTGCACAGTCAACTTGGAATTATCACGTGGTGGAGTTATAGTCATGGCGCATGATCTGGTGTGGCATAGTCTCCATGACAGCTATTTGACATCGCACTCTTTTGCTTCAATTAACCTCACTCACGAAATTAGCGACGGAAATATCTCCGCGTTGTTGAATTAAGTCAACGATGACTAAGCGAACGAAAGTCCACAAGCGTGTCAGTATCTCCGAGTGTGACAGGACAAGATTCACAAGTCTGCACAAAGACGAAAATCAT